TAAAAAATTATCATTTTCACTTGGGGGCCTCTCAATATATTCACTCTTATAAACAATTGATTTAGGCCAAGCCAAGTAGAAAAATTAAAATTACAAATTTTTGTTTTTTACGATATCTTGAAAACTAAAAATTACAAGTCAAATTTCTTTTTAGGTCGGCATGAAAATGTGTAACTTTTCCTAATTTAACCAACTTATCTGTACGTATCTCTATATCTTCAAAAGATAAGCGAGATATCCATGCTTAGCCTCGAAAAACGGACACTGTTCTGTATAAGCTATAGCTTATATATAAAAACTTTTTTTTATAATGTTATTAACCTTTTAAGTTATATTAATTAAAGTAATTAATTATGTTTTTATTCATTGGTATTAGATTTATTACTAGGCGCTTTAATTAAAAATTAAGATGAATAAGTAGCAAAATTCTATTTTATTTTTAAATTAGGATTAATTATGTACCAAGAATTAATATTTTTGTTTGTCAGATTATTTACTAAATAATGTATTCTAATGATAATTAATTAATTTAATTATGTTTAAGCTTTACATGCAGTAAAAACAATTTTTTTGGCCAAACAATTATTTTCCACCTTCCCTTTAAAACACAAATTATAGTAGGTATACCGTATTTTCATTTTTGGTGTAAACAGCTGTAAAAGACCTTATCTCAGATTTCAGTCGCCAACTCACTGGCGCTGCATAACAAATAATGATTTTATTTAAAAGACTATAAATTATCGGGGGTAATTACACAAGTGCTTAAAAATTATCGATAATTTTGCTTGAAAGCATATTGCCTAAAAAATGCATGAGTTCATTTTCATATTTTGGAAAGAGCCCGACACCGAAGGTGGAGGGCTCTTTCCTCAAAATATGAAAATGACCGAATGCATTTTTTAAAAGGCAATATGCTTGAATGCAAAATTATCTGATTATTTTTATGCACGAGTGTAATTTGTTTAGATAATTACACGAATAAACTAATTAAATCAAAGAATAACATTTTCATTTTAATTTCAACACAAAACTTCATTTAACATTATTTAATAATTGATTCAAATAATTCTTTACCAAAACGTGACATTTAAAATAACTGTCACATTAAAATAAAAACTGACGTTATTTTTATTAATTGCCATGGATACGTAGATACAATGGAATTATCGATTCCTAGTAGACAATTATCGCTGTAATCAAGCGATAATTGTCTTGTAGGCATATATAAGAGGGTAATTATCACTAAAACTAATATATCAGTTTTAATAATACATCAGTTTTAATAATACACATTGACAAGCTGTGACTTTATGGCATTTTAGTCACGGCCTGAAGTTTGAAACAGTGGCTTTCGGAGTTTCTAGTTACGGGCTGAAGTTCGACATTCGTCAAAATAAAGCGACTAAAAAGTGACAGATCTAAGATTTTATTTATTTTTGGTTTTTGTCGAAGACACTCGTTATTAAATAAACACTTGATGTAGTCTAATAAAAAAAATTGTAAAATTTTATAATTATGTAGGAAATATTTAATCATTCTGTTCAGTGTACATTATTTATACTAATTAAGTAAATATTAAAGAGGTATTAATGGGTTTAAATTCAATAAAATAATGGCAAATCAAGTACAATTAACATAAATAAATGCAAATAATGCCATTTTAATAAATTACCAACAAGTATTTTACATTAATTTTCATAGATGTAATGATTATAAAGTCGCGCACGACATCTTATGGGTATATAACATTTACTTTTATTAGTCCAATTAATAATGTCAACTAATTAACTTTTTCTTGTCTGTGGTATGCCAACACATCGTCTAATTAAATATTAAAAACTTAAAGCGCACTGGTAAACCTGTGAAAATATCATCCGAAGAAAAAATTACTATTGATCTGGATCTAACGAATCAATTAATTAACTTTAATTAAGGCGAGGTTATTTCATCTAGAATCTAGAGTGTAGATAGTCTAGTACTACCGTGAACTTTAACACTAACAGTAGATACTGAGTAGAACGTTGAATTACCGCAACAAAATAAAACTGGGTAATGACAACACCTGTACACCAGTAGGTGCAGTTGAGAACTAAAGTATAGTTGACATTTTTTATGCAGCTGCCCTCTGCAAGGTTATAATTTCTATCAGACACAAAATTGGACAAATAAATAAAAAAAATTGACGAAAAAATGGTAAAAATTTTGACCATCGTTATTGGTTTTCGAGCCACCGAAATTCAAGAAAAAGCGATTTAATTAATCAGAAAAAAAGTTCAAAATTCGCCGCCGCACATTTTGCAAAAATGGCCAAAATCCATTTAAAAAAAAACTGATAAAGATGAAATGTTAAAACCATGTTTTAGTAGAATTAATCTTGATCCAATACAAATTTTAATTCAATTGGCACAGTGGCAGCGATTTTACAAGGGTTTAAATGAGGAGGTGCATTCCAAAACTTGGCTTATCCTTATTAGGGAGCGTTTAAGTATTACGTAACGCAATTTTTGAAGAGTTTTGCATATTAATAATATTGATTCTGTACGAATAATTATTAATTAATTTAATTAAATCAGTAGCGGCGATTTTATAAGGGTTAAAATAATTTAAATTTTGTTAAAATAACTTACACCTTAAACGCCTATTATCGTACATGTTTCCATGACACTAAGTGACCTTTTAAATACCATTGGCAAGTTGTGGCTTTATGACGCGTTAGTCACGGGCAACAGGTTTTTAGTCTCGAACTGAAGTTAGCTTTAAGTTAGTTGAAAGTTGTCAAATGTCATACTATGATTGTATTAGAATCGTTAAAATAAAGTGTCTTTTTTGTAGAATAATACTAAATGTGAAAATTATTTTATAATCTCAATATAAAAATACAAAAGTATTAAAAAGTTTCTTGACGAGAATATTGCGTACAGTGCCCATAAAACAATCTCTTCCCTTTTCTGTAAAAAACTGCTTATATATCGATTGTTGGTCTATAGACCAAATATATTTTCAAGGGATAAATTATGATTTACACAAAAAAAATTTACATTTTAACGCCGGTAGATTGCCAAGTTAGAAATTCTAACGGGAATTCCAATAAATACAACGGTGTAAGAATTTTTAATACTTTATATTTTACAAATTTACAATTAGTAATAAAAAAATCAAAGGTGAAATATTTTCTTAACATAATTATATTTTAAAGTTATTTTAATATTTTAAAGTAGTCCTTCGGAGGGGACTTTAAACCCGTGGTCCGTTCCTACCCCTAACCCGCACAAGCCATTCAGTTGGCTTATGGGACTTCTTAAGAAGTAAGGGTGGAACTAAAAGAGCACTTTTGTATATAAACTTTTTTTTTGTATCAAAAATGTTAAGTTTAATTAAAATTATAAAGGTCAATGTTTATGATGAAAATAACGATACTTTATTTTCTTATAAATGTCGCTTTATACAAATATTTAATTTAAATCATTTTTTACATTATATTAAGTATTTGTCGTAAAAAAAGTACAGTATGCTCTCTAAAAATGAATAAGTCAAAAATGACTAATTTAATACTTATAAGTGGCTTCTTTTTCACTTGTACCATGGTATCCCAAAATTTAACAGCCAATTCTTATGTAAAATTGTCCCCTGAATCCGAAAATGTCGTCAAAAGTTAAAAAAGTAGAACAATTTTTGAGATATCAATTTTCCATTTAATATACTATATGACTATATCTCAAAACTGCTCCACTTTCATAATTTTTGACGATATTTTCGGATTCAGAGGACAAATTTACATAAGAATTGGCTGTTAAATTTTGGGATACCATGGTATTCCATGGTTAACTATGGTATTAGTGAAAAAGCAGCCACTAATAACATCATTTTTGACTAATTCATTTTTAGAGAGTAGGTTATTATTTTGTGAATATTGTTCTTATAAGGTTCATATGAATAACTATAATTATTAATATTATATCCCGCCGCCCCCTTTGTCAGCAAAAGCAAGAATTTATAGATAGGACATATTAACAAATTTAAAAATTATATAAAATATACATGGGTATTATAATTTATATACAAAGTAAGAAACGTGGGTATATTTTAAAGATTTGAGATCATTTAAATGTCTCCCCGACTTTAATCACAAATCAAATGATTAAATTAATAAATCTTGGTTTTTGTACGAACATTCTTTAATTTACTTTGAAGCCATAAATAATGTCGGTACAAAAGAAAATAATTGTAAACCGTTCAGAAGTCTGTGGGGTAGACTACTGCTTTCAAAACGTGATTTATTTTGACGTTTCAGTACAAGCCATTCGTCAGATAACATCTGCCTGTATGACATACAAAGATGCGTTGAAGAAACAACTTTTTTACCAATGCAAAATTGTAATTCCTATTTCATAATTTTTCTTTCCTGCCAATTTTACTTTATTCCCAAACTAATATACTACTACATAGTCACAAAAACAGGACTGCTTTTAAAACCAACGAACTCATTCATAAATTGGCACAGGCAAAATAAAACAAATTTCGTATAGAATATGAATAGAAATTGGCTCCGCCCACCCAAACCGTCTGGGCTGGCTGTGACTCGACAACTGTCTACACCTGGTGGAAAAATCTCTATTTATTTATTTTGGCCTTTTCAAGACAAAATACAGAGATACACGCCAAAATAAAGTAACACTATTAGTACCAACCTATGAATAATAAATAATTATTAATTTTATCGCATATTTATTACATTTTTCTGGCATTTTAAAACAAAGATCAATAAATTAAGTCATCGTACTTAATCATTGCGATAAAAACAGCACGCAAATCATGGAATGTCATGAAAAATCATTAAATAATTCACGGAAATGTTAATCACGATTACTACGGCGAGTCGATGCAAAGTTTGAGGTTAGGTTCGTGAACCCAACGCGTTTTCGTTTGTATCTTTTAAAATAAATAAGATGAAAGGCATGCAATATGTTTGGTATAGACTATAAAACACAATGCACACTTACCAACGGTTTGCTTTCGTTTTGATTACTTGTTTTCCATGCTTTCGGCGAATATGTTTACACTTCGTTCACGTTAGACTTCTCGTCGAACAGCTGTACGGTAGTGACAGCTAGCGGCGCAAAGATGAATTATGGGTTTTATGTTTACAAGGGGCGTTTTTATCTACTGTGGATAAAGTTAAAATTTCAAATTGTAAATAGTTGAATATTTCTAATGGGCATTCAACAACAAAAAAATTGTTTAAACTAAAGGGTGTACATTTTAACATTCCTATTAAATTTAAAAATAATAGTTTTTTAAAATAATGTAGGTAGGTATGTAGGTTAACCAAGTTCACCTTTTCAGCCGGATACTTTGAATAAAATATAAAAAAGTTTTTTATTTAAATTATTTGTTTACACTGTAAAAACAATTAAAAAAGAATTGGTGCCTGCCAAAATCAGATTTTAATGCTATTTTAAGAAAAAATCATTTTACAACTTACGCTTTACAAAAAAGGTCTTTTTCGTTATTGTCTTAAAACTATTCAATGGATGGCATCCATTAAAATTATATCGGATGTCAAAGTTTATATTAAATTTAAAAAAAATAATTTCCAATTTCATAAGTGGGGTTTAAGTTGTCTTTTTTAATTATGTAGGTAAATTTAAAAATATAAAATAAAAATGTAACTATTTTTATTTATAGCTATACACAATCTTATTGTTTCGTAAAGGTTTTCAGATAGGAAAGCTAAAATATTTGTACTTTTTTTTATTTAACACTCGGTACAATCTTGCAGCAGAATGTACTCTCTAAAAGTGAAACAGTGAAATTTTCACTATTTCCGTCAGTGAGTTATTATTCACTGTAAAATTAGTGTTTTTCAATATAAATTAGTGAAATTTAAACTTCTGCAAATTAGTGTTTTTTATTATCACTACTTTTCCGGAACTCTCGACATAAAATAGTGAAATTTTAACTTTTTTGAACTAAACCTATTTCACTAATTTGTACAGTGTAATTTCCACTAAATAAAATAGTGCAAAGAAATCGCTACATGAAAAAGTGAGTATTCACTAATTGCTAGTGGTATACTTATCACTGCGGCAAATAGTTAATATGCACTGTCAATCAGTGAAAATCCACTGTTTCATTAAAAATTTTTTAGAGAGTACCTACAATCTTGGTATTGGGTCAGAATTTCTCAAAGGGGCCACCTGAATTAGGTCAAAATTAGTTTTTGATTGTAGATACATTTTTTCGATAGTATTTTACATCACTAACACAAATCTTAAAGGATTTTGTAAAAAAAAAATTTTCAATTGACATATTCATGATATTAAAAGTAAAAGTTTTTAGTAATTAAAAAATAAAAAAAAAATCATTATGGCTAAACTAATTATCCGATTCCAACGATTTAACTAGCGTTGGAATCTTGTTTTGACATAGATTCTTTGTTATTTTTTTCAATTGTAAAATTTTCATTTAGGTCGATTTTTTTTTGTTTTTTTTTATAACAAATTCGGAAATAATTGGCTTCTGCGCCAGCTATCGACTCGAAAAAAAAACACATATACTCCAATCATTTTTCGAAATTATGCTGCTCCAATCATTTTTCGAAATTATGCTGCTGAGAAAAAAAATGGCCCGCAGGTTCCAGACCACCGTAAGACGTCGCGTCACAAGCGCGTACAGCGTACACGGTTCGGAGCGTGAGCTGACACCGCGCGCGGCCACAAAAGGACGAATAACTTTTTGTCAACCTGCGGGCCATTTTTTTTCTCAGCAGCATAATTTCGAGAAATGATTGGAGTATATGTGTTTTTTTTCTCGAGTCGATAGCTGGCGCAGAAGGCAATTATTTCCGAATTTGGTATAAAAAAAACAAAAAAAAATCGACCTAAATGAAAATAGGACAATTGAAAAAAATAACAAAGAATCTATGTCAAAACAAGATTCCAACGCTAGTTATATCGTTGGAATCGGATAATTAGTTCAGCCATAATGATTTTTTTTATTTTTTAATTATTAAAAACTTTGACTTTTAATATCATGAATATATCAAATGAAAAATTTTTTTTTACAAAATCCTTTAGGATTTGTGTTAGTGATGTAAAATACTATCAAAAAAATGTATCTACAAACAAAAACTAATTTTGACCTAATTCAGGTGGCCCGTTTGAGAAATTCTGACCCTATTGTAATATTTAAGAGGTGTAATTTCGCAATCATTCATTTAATTTAAAACCACATGCCTAGCGGCTCGTGGTCTTAAAAATTAATGCGGCTTGTAAAATTTACAAGAAAAAAACATTCGTATAAAAATCAAAAATTTTGGGTGACTATTTTTCTCGTCTTAATTTCCACCAATCCTATTTTTTATTGCAGATTCGGATCATTCGACTAAAAATAGGTAGATTTTGTCTAAAACAATTTTCATATTTGAAATAGATGGCGCTGTAATGAAAAAAATCAATTTTGTCCGATTTTTCTTCTTATACCTACCATTCTGCAATAATTTTTCTATAAAAATATCACTTTTTTGGTAATAATTATCTTAATTAATTAAATCTGATTAAGTACCCACGATTTTTTAACTAATATATTACCTATAGGTATATTTAAGTTTCCTTTGGTTTAAGTTTTATACATTATTTCATTCGGTGATAATTATAATTATAATATCAATAATTATCAATTATCAATTGCGCACCATGGTCACTTTTTACCTGCCAGCAATAATTTTTTTAATTTAAAGGATTATTGTACTATTTTTAATAAAAATACCTCATTTAAGGTAAAAAAAACATTATTTTGTTAATTAATTAATTAAATCCTAATTAAGGTATACAAAAATGGTATTTAGTTATAAATAATAATTATTATTGAGGTATAAAGAAACTATTTATACATAGTTTAGCATTATTTAATCAATTTAGTTAGAAGATTAATTTGGAAACAAAAATACCTCCTTTCGTTAAGCAGTTATTCATAATGGATGTTTTAGCATTGGAAGAAAAAATAGAAAAGATTTTGATTTATGGAGAAGCAGGCAGGCAGAAATCTTGATGCGCTCAGCGTTTTCCGGAAAAAATTCGATCAGGTACTTCATTTCACCGTACAGTCAAGCAGTTTACTACAAACGGGAGTGTTCAACCGAAATAAGAGTTTGTCGAGCAACAGTCACAGGTGAAAATAATGAAATTAATGTGTTAAAATGTATTAAATGTGTTAAAAAGTAACCATGGTGCGCATTACCTATCACCGAATGAAATAATGTACCTATAAAACTTAAACCAAAGGAAACTTAAATATTAGTTGGGTACTTAAGAATTGCATTCCCTACTCGGTATTATATGGGGCGCCGTTTTATTTTTTATTCAGGAATTATTCTTATATGAACACTAAAGTGATATTTTCAATTAGATAAAAAATATCATACAAAAAAGTTATTCTGCTAATTAAAAATATCTTACTAGATATCTGTATAGGTATTTAAAAATTTAATTAAATTTTTATGCCCAACTGATATTTTTAATTTAGGGAATTTAAAATATCTTTTTCTTATTAGGTATTTATATTTTTTAGTTAAACATATATTTTTAATTGGCTAAATTAAAAATACCATAGGAGAAATTTTTACATGCATTAAAATATTAGCAGATATTTGTAATTTAATGTGATATTTTTAATTTAGATTGAAAGTTTGGACACCCCTGGTATTCCAAAACTAATTCTGTCGCTAGATGGCGGCACAATCACTGAGATCAACGACGTACGTGAGTCCGATGTCTCACTGACCAAGCGTGTGCTTATAAACAAGGACAGTGCACGTTAGTTTGTTATTGGAATGCGTCGGTTTTTTTGGAGTTTGAAATAACAGGGGTATACAAACTCTCAATCAGTCGGAATTAAAAATATCACATTCAATTAATTAATTAATTAATACATTTAAAAAAATATAGATAAATTAAATCTAATTGTTAATTGTTAATTAAGCGAATTAAAATGTGTTTTTAACAAAAAAATTATAGGTATAAGAAATTAAAAATATCAGTTTATATCTATTATATCTGCTTTGATATTATTAATTCGCTGAATAAAATTCTTTTGTGATATTTTTTATCTTATTGAAAATATCACTCTATATAAAATGGCGCCACATATACCTACTAGCCTGTCCGTTATTGCCAAAGTTATTTTTTTTTACTTGAGTAGCTATTATCTAAAAAAATGTTAAAAATTATATTTTTTTCTAACGTCGTGTAACCCTTCCTAAATGCCATTTTAGTGACATAAGGAAATATTCAACTCACTAATTATAATTGGTAAAAAAAATACCGAAGAGGTACCTACCTACATAAAAAAAATTGTATTTACTTAAAAAATATGTAAAAAATACCTTTTAACAAATTAAAAAACACCTACAAATAGAAAAGTGCGAAGAACCAATTATTTAGCGTAAAACCGAAAAAACAATAAATACAACAGGTGAAAAGTTATAAAGCACGCGGATGGTAGCGAATGGGGCAAAGAGTAGAGAGAAGATTGACAGGTCGCGTCCCGGCCTAGAGGCTACTCCTCGCCGAGAGGCCGAGATCGTAAAGTGGGCGTGGCCTAATCCGAAGCCACTCCCACCTGTCAAACTGACCACGAAGTTGCGCAGTGGAAGCCACCGCCGCCGCGATGTTTTCTCTTGCAAGTGACGAGAAATGACGTTCGGAGGACTCGGTCGCCCTGTTGCCAGCTCTACTTTTTTCGCGGTTGTTTGGATTTTTTAAAGATTTTATTTTTTATTTCTTTGTTTGTTTATAATTATACCTAATTCTTTCGAATTTAATTTTTTGTATAAAAATAAAAATATTAGCAATTTTAATATATATTTTTTTAAATTTAATGGTTTATTTTTGTTTATAGAAAAATGCGATTTATTTTAAATTTAAAGGTAACAAAATAATAAAATTATGTTATTTAAACTTTAATTTTTTATAGAAACATTTGAAAAAATATTTTAGGGCGACTTATTTCAAATTTAAATTTTTGTAATCAAAATATGTTGCAATATTTAAATTGTTAAATTACCTTTTAGACCGCCAACTTGAAAAAACACAACGTTTTTATTAAAAAACTTATTACCTAACCGTTTGTCGCACAGAGGCGAACAAAGTCTTAAAATACTGATAATTTATAGCTACCCACATTTTTTATATACCTAACCTGTTTTACTCTTTGATGCGCTGTTGCTTAAATATATTTAAAAAACCTCAACCATTTTTTTAGAAAATAATCTTCTCCTTTTTTACCCTTTTTGCGATATTTTTTTAACAAAAATTTTTAGGGAAATTTTGTGGCTTTTGAAATTTTCTATGAATTTACTTTAAGTACATTGTTCCAATGTAGACTGGACAATCCACCATATTTCGATGTTTCTTCCAGTTTGATCCAGTTTAAATAAGTTAAATAGTCAATTTATAGGAAAGTTTTAGAGCTACAAAATTTCAGGAACATCTCAAAATAGGTAAAAAAAGAATACCAATTTCCAAAAGAATTGTTGAGTTTTTTGCATACCTATATTTATGCAACAACGAATCATTAAACAAAATAAATTTTATAAAAAATGTAATTGCCTATAGATATTTTAAAAGTTTATTGGTCTCTGCAATAAACGGTTCGTAAGATATTAAAACAAAAAGTCAGGGTTTTTTCAAGATCGCGGGCCATGGCCTACCCATATAGTATATAGTATATACTTTATACAATTTATGGTCTTTCAAATAAAAAAAATTAAATTTCAACCTGTATAAAAGTATTGAGTCAACAAACATATAAGCGTATATATACGGTATACCTACGCTTTTACTTGCCTATAATGGTAGATTTTTTATTTATTATAAAATTTATAATACCTACTTACGTCTAAATAAATAAATTGGTTAAAATTCAAAAAATTACAAACAAATTGCGTCCATTCTGCAACTTTTTGGTTATAAATAACCCTTGGTTAAATTGAATCGGTGAGATTAAAAACAGTACGAGTCCAAAAGCTAAAATTTAAAAAAATATTTTGTAAAATTAGTTTTATAGGTAGTCCAAAATGCATTTTTGTGAGAATATTTCAACAATTTTATAAAATACACTGCCCGTCAAAATTAACGCATAATAAGTAAAAAATTCTAACTCTAAAATGCCTTTACCAATCTTTATGAAATTTTGTATAAAATACTTCAACTTATATCTCAGTTTACGTGTTCGAGGGTTTTTCGAGAAAATATTTTTAAATTTTATTTAATAATAAAAAACGTTCAAAAAATAACTTTTAGGGATTTTTTTTACTAAATAAATATCATGCTTTTAAAGACCGTATTTTGTTAGTATACCCTGAAAATTCTGTACAAATTAAACGAACAGTAACGAAGATACAGCGCTTCAAAGTCGGTAAAAATGGCCCCTTTTTGATTATTTTGCTGAAAAGTGGTCATTTTTGACGACTTTAAATCGCTGTATCTTCGTTGCTGTTCATTTGATTTGTACGAAATTTCGGGATAAACTAACAAAAATACGGTCTTTACCAGCATATTTTATATTTTCTTAAAAAAAAATTTTTGAACGTTTTTTCATTATTAAATAAAAGGGCTTTAAAAATATTTTCTCGAAAAACCCTCGAACACGTAAACTGGGATATAAGTATTTTTATCCAAAATTTCATAAAGAATATTAAAGGCGTTTTAGAGTTAGATTTTTTACAGTGGGTCCAAGAATTATGGCCAATACTGTATGTACCTACATATAAATTTAACAAATAACAAACTATTTTTTACAATGTGATTTTGACACTGTCATTTAATAAAAAATCCTAAATTTAAGCAAAAATATTATTTTTAAGAAAAATATTTTAGATACATACATTTTAAATTGATGAAAGTGAGGTTAGAAACGTCTGACCGTTGTCAGATCTTTAAAATTGGGATAAAGTGTGGTAAGTACGATTTGACAGATGTTGGATGTTTATTATTATATTTAAGCGGCAGTAAAAATTTTTAAGAATAAATATTAAACAATTTTGTTTACACTGAAATTTAAAACCATATAAGCAATTTGATTGTAAAATGTTACAAGTAGGTATATTTAAAATGTTATAAAACCCATACAAATTTAAACACAAAATAAACCCATAAATAAACTTGTAATTTTATTATATACCTACTCTATAATATGTATTTTAATTAATTACTTTATAGCTAACCAATATTTAAGATCCAAACATAATTAGGTTAAATAGGCCAAGGAATTTATAACATCGAAACGATCGGTAAAAAGCCCGCGTCCACGTCGAAACGGGGCGAAGCGGCAACGCTGCAAAAGTGAAACAGAAGAGCACCGTTGAGCGACGTCTTGTGACGCCGGCGCCTGTACACACAACCTGACGAAACGTTGCGCCGATTGTCGGCCGCTTAGCGCGCGCTAGACAGAGACGGAAGAGCGCGCCTAGTGGTGGGGGAAGCGCGGAGCTTCTTGTTGTCACTCACTCAGTCTGCGGAGGAGTCGCAATCAAGAAGGACGTCTCGCACAGCCACCGATACAAACGACGACTTTGACATTTGCGAAAAACGAAACCGGACGACGATCTCGCGATACGTGGTTGTGACGTGCTACAATTGTTGTACATAATCGAAAGAAATCAACCATCCAGTATACGATTATTTGTGATGTGCTCTGTTGTGTTTTCAAACAAATCCAGTTGCTAGTTTGTATATATTTTTTGTGATTAGTTATGAACTAGTGGCAGTGGCCGCCTTCAAAATTCCTCGATCACCGAAAATGACCAGGCGCAAGCAGAACTGCCCGAAACGGATGAAATGTAAGTTTTTAGTGGTGTGTCAGTAATTTTGTATTAAGGAGAGTTCCAGTGCGCACTGAGTTTAAAGTTACCGCGTGCCATACATGTGCTCCGGGTGAAGTTGTGATGAAACAACCGTGTTTTATATTATATATTATAATTTCGGCAGAAATTTCACCGGTAAATTTATTTTAAAAATTGGTCTTCAACCACCCACACCATGTCACGATAACTTCATCTAAATAAGTAAATAATCCAAAATTAACACTTAAAATTTGAAAATGAGTTTTTTCTTTTTATAAATATCATTTAAGCTTGTGACACACATTATTTTTTATTAATAAGATGAAAAAAACAAATTTTCTTTAAATTGAATTGGTAATTGTTGTTCCTATAGGATAATCTTTCATTGCGAATTAAAAAAAATAATAAAACTAAAAGTATTATTTGGATTATAAGTATATAATACAATATAATATAGTTTTCAAGCGTACCTAGTTCTTTATAAAAAAATATAAAAATAAACTAAAATTTTAATAATTTAGGTAAATGAAAGGTCTAAGATTGTTGACATAGTAAACTGGTAGTTTAAAAATTTCAAACATTTTATTTAAATACCAATCTCACCAATAAATCCTACAATTTCTATTACCTATAGCCTTAAAAACACATATTTTTAAAACAAAATAATTTTGTATACCAAATCTCATAATTTAATTTTTATTTCGTTAAATTAGTAGTTTTATAAAAGAAACACACAAATTTCTATTAATTTACACACATTACCCCAGAACCGAAATATTTGCAATTTGTATTTTAAATCAAATTGGCAATACATAAAAATAATCGTAGTTACTGAAACTAAGAAACACAGAAACAAATTTTCAAACAAAATTAGGACTAGGTATTATTATTAATGTGCACTCCAAAGTTGTGTTACATTTCAAAATTAATAATTGCACTTTATAGAAAACTTGTTTTGTTCAAAATTAATTAATGTCTATACCTAGCTAACTAAATTCCGTTTTCCCAGAATCTAAATTTAGAAAAATAATTCGCGCCAAAATTCTACATACCTACATCTGTTGAAGTCATAACATTAATTCGCATGATGTATTAAAGCATTTATAATGTTTAATTGTTATAAATGTTGTTTATAAACTTTTAACGTTATGTAATTTAATTCGATTTAAATTCACAAAAAACAATAAATTATTTTGTTTTGTTAAGAGTTTGTTCTTAAATAGTAAATTAGGAATCAAGTTTGATAAACGCCATTTTAGTTAGGCACGAGTGAGCTTGCGGAGCGAGTTTTTAATTAAATTAGTGTATAGAAAAGTTTATAAACGAGTTGCATACTATACCTACTTTTTCTACGAAAAATACTTTTTATTTTCTAAAAATAATTGTTAAATATTTGGATAGAACCGTTAAGTGAAGAAGTACCCACCTTAATCAATGATATCTATAAAACAAAAGAGAACCATTCTAACTTAACTGTATCCCTTATAAATGAACTAACCACCGGTTAAATTCAATACAGAAGCAGTTTTTCGCAGTGAAAATGAAGAGAATGTTTTATGGCACTCCACCCGAAATTTTTATTTTCGTATTGATATAGGTAATAAAATAATTTTCACATTTAGTATTATTTTACAAGGAACTTTATTTTACCGATTGTATGACATTTGACAACTGTCAACTATCTTAAAACTAACTTTAGGCCGTGACTAAAAACCTGTTGCTAACTTCTATCCGTGACTAAAACGCCATAAAGCCACAACCTGTCAATGTGTGTTTAAAAGGGCACTTACTATTTAAAGGTTGTAGCAGAAATTTTTTTTTATTTTAAACTAAATTTTAAGAACTTTATTCTTAATGGTTTTATAACAAGTAAAAAGGTCTTAACTGTCAACTAAATAGGTTATGTTCGTATTTTTAAGACGCATACGTTTTAACCTTAAAAGACAAACAAAAGACATTATAAAGTGGAACAAAAAAGTGGCAAAAAATGACAATATTTAGTGGTGGTGCGTTTTTTTTGTTGCCTAGTTTATAAATTAAAAATTAATTTATGAGGAGAAATTTGCAAGCATTACGTTTACGATTCGAATAATCGACCTAATTTTTGTGCATGTAAATTTAAATATCGTGCATATCCATAAAATAAATATTGCATGAAACACTTTTTATATATCCTCTTTTATCACAATAGAAAATAGGTCATTATACACCAATATATAACAATGATAAATACACTACAAGCAATACAACTGCTTACATTAACCATTAATAAGCGTATTTATGTTTACCTTAATGCACGACTTATTTATTTATATTTATTTATCGGATAATTTGAAACAATCTGCCTACATGTTGCATTTATTGTTGAGAAATTTGCTTGTTAACTTTAAAATCGGTTTTATCTTTCAATTATAAATTGAGATATTCAAACAGCGTATATTGTTATATCGCCGATAAATTATAATAATGCAGTTTGTTAAACAAATTTACGTAGAGTTAATTGATTTAGTTTGCATAAGATTATCCGCTGTATTATTGGAAATTGAATTTTATTATACCAGTGCAACTAAAAAGGTAGTTGATGTTAATAAATCATCAATACCTTTTAAAAATATGTGTAGGCTTTAGTTATTCAGTAATTAGTTAATAATGTTAGGTAGGTACTCATAATTAGTTCAATAACTAAAAAAAATCAATTGGCAATGAATAGTTATTTATTTTGATGTAAATTTTTGTAAAGTTTTTATCTATTAACTGGTGCATTAAACTAAGAAAAAGTGAGGATGAGATGTCAGATTGTTAAAAAGTAAGATTAAAACCGCTTGACTTGACTAAATCCAATCGACAAATTTTGTTCGCAAAGTTTCAATTGCACAGCTAAATTGCGCACGTTATTTGTCTTTCGCGTTGAAAGTAAAAACTAAGAACCTCTGGTTTAGTACTCGATTTCGATTTATTATAATAATATATTACGTATACCAACGCTTATATAGTTATCATGGTGAATTATTTTAAGAAATAAATCGTTGCATTTTCATGTTTTTCCAAAGGATCCAATTCGGTACGTATATTTGTTAGTTCAGAATTAACTAATAATAACTTTAGCTAATATAATTTAACTTTAAGTTTGGACATTTTTAAGGAATTTAGGGTTTTGGTTGGTAAATTCAGTTGTCAAGTAGGTCGCATTGATTAAAACAAACTAAGCTAGTTATAAATCTAATTGTGGTTATGTTTAAATTATTGTAGGTTACATTGTGCACTTGTCAAGTTGAGTTGTCGAAATTCGTAGTTAAAAATGCAATAAATTTGGCTTTGGTGGTGCTTGGATGAGTAAAATCAAATAAAAAAGTAGTTAAATATAGGTTGCTTTACGGCCCAGAAGAGAAAGTATTCCTAGCGGATAATAATCTTCGCTTTGAAAAGAATTTATATAAAAGAAATTAAAATTTTTTGTGAACGTAAATGTTGTCCAATGGTGAATAATGTGAAAATAATGTGTGATGTAATATTTATAAAATCAAATTCGATATTTTTTTACTCCAAAAATGTCCATAAGGCGATGTACTTTTTCTTCCATTGTGGCATTTGGCATAATTTCATCAAAATGAAGTTTTGCCCTCAAATTTATAATTGACAAGTAAATTATCAATAATAAATATTATTGTCAATTAGTAGAAGTACCATTTTTAAATACTAAAAATACTAAGTTAAACGGGCATAAGCCACCAACCTAACAAAAAAACAGGAGTCCAGATAAAAAAAATTTAACTGTAAATGAAATTAGTAAATGACATAATAATATTATATACCTATAATACATAATATCGCATAATATAATACCCGTTTTTGGTTTTGTTACCGTTGAGACTTTCTCAATCAACGCTTTTAATAATGTATAACGCTGTTTGAATTTAGACGACTTATTTGTTTTATGATTTTTACTGAATTGAAAAGAAATGAAATTTTCACGTACCTAAATCATTTCTAAAATTTAAGCAAGCCTATCCAAGAATTTTCTGAGAACGTTTTGGATGACTTCCGCATTAATAAAGCGACATTCGTCACGAATTTTATTTTTCAAGTCTTCTAAATTTTGTGGTTTGAAATTCCAAATATCGACACTTGCTATTTGTAGTATAACAAAAAACAATAATAAACTGAAAAGTTTGACGTTAAAATGAAATATTTTGAGAAAGTTCATGATTATTTCTTGTAATAAAAACTATAAAACTCTTTTGTAACTTATGCGTTTGACAGCTGATTAATAAAAGTTGTAGTTTGGTTACGGTGATAACAGCCATGTGGTGGCGCTACTGGCGATGCTTCTTTAGCGTATATGTTGGACATGCAAAAAGTCTATTATTGCAGCAATCTCTTTTTGCTCCTATTCGACTGGTTGTTGTTGGATTATTTCTAGGCAAGAGAATCTCATGTAGCAGCGATAAATAACAGCCATTAGCAGTGGTAGCTTTTATTATATTATAAAATTAAATAATGAAGCACATGAAAAGTTATTAAAAATAGTCGCGCCGCGTTGGCACAATAAAAACCGCCATAAATCAAACTCATTTCCTAAATAATACGACCTATTTGATATATTTATATTCACATATACACACGGCTCTTATTTAAAACATTGCATGTTACCATTTCGGGCGCTATAATTTATATGGCTTTCGGTTGTGTTGTTCTAGAGGGCTTTTATTCGCGTTAGGTTTGGATCCCATCACGAGAAATCAATCTTTATTACTTTTAATTTATCGTTAAAGTCTGCCGGTTTTATTTCTTTTCGGAAGTTCCGAGTTTGTTGTGCGGCTTTATGGCTATGAATTTTTATTGCTGTTGATTATTTTTCCCCAAATTAACTCTCAGGGCCGCACTCAATAAAATACGTGGAAAAAATCGCATTAACCCTTTTTCTACCCCAAGTGATCTTTTAAATAAATTCCTACATATTGACAAGCTGACAGTTGTCAAATGTCGTACGATTGACA